CTAAAAAATATTGATTTATTGCTCTTGAATAAGTAATAATAAAATATAAATTGCTCTCAAAATAGCACATACCTCGAATAATATATATCTCATAATGTTCTAGTAGAAACACAAATTCAACAATTCAATAGTGGGTTGTAATTTTTGAAGAAAACTACTTTTCTATATTAACAATATTCAAGAAGAATATTAATTTATCGCTATTGAAGAGCGTGAATTATAATTTTCAATATTCCAGAATAATATTGACATACTTCTTTTGAAAAAGCTATAATTAAAGATAATGTGCTCTCGAAGTAGCATATTTTCAAAGAATATATTATTTTGAATTCATGTTTATCCCCAAATAAAAACATATAACTAATGTCATGATCAAGATATTGATTAGTTTGATTGTTGAGTGATATATGATTATGTGAGCTTTAATTGTATTATTTGAAATTAAATCATCGAATTATAACTTATATTAAACCAGAAGTTCAATTTGACTTTATTATTTGGCATGACCATTTGAATCATCACTGAATTATTAATGATGTGAAATTAAAAATTTAAATGGATAATGAAGAACCAGATTATTCTTTAATCCAATGAAATCCTATATGATATTTTTTCTCTTTTTAATGAAAAATTTTCATTAACCAAAACTAGCTAACATAGGAACTAAATTCCTTATATTTCTGAAAATTAATTAGGGTGGTCAATGGGATACCATCATCATCTACATTGATCATCTAAATATTATTTATATCAATAGATTTGATATACATATTAGATGATTGCATGGTGTTCGCAACTTGAAGTTTAGGAAATTACTGCTCAAATTTTAAATTATGAACATAACTTTCAGATCATATAATTAAGACCGTGTCTTATTAATGCTAGTGGATATAAATCTCAATATTTTAATAATTGTTAGTTGGGATATCGATAAATGATTTAACACTATTGTTTGTTAAACGTTTCCAATTAATTTAATTGAAAACAAAGTACCTCTCATTTTTACTTAGGGCATCTGTTACGCATCATCTCAAAATCATAGTTCTCCTTATTATAATTAGCTTATTATCAGAGCCTAGTTTTTCTATTTAATTATTATGATAGTGCAATATATGTAAAATTAAATTACCACAATGCATTGAAATGGAAAAAGAAAAAAAAAGAATGCTAATAATAGATGCCTAGTTTGAATTCTTATCCAAAATGTGCAATATCTTATAACGCTGGAAAAATTATTTCAATTTAATTGGACAATACTCTCTACATTAGCGGAGAAATAAGACGTTGAAAATAATGTATAAATAGATCATCATCATCTAAATCCTTGCAAAATATTATTCAAACCAAAAGTTCAAAAGATAATTTATTTAGATGCATGTACTAATCAAAGAAATAAACAATATCTCAAGCATCAGTTTTAAATGCTTCAACATAAATTGATATCCTGCAAGGACAATTTGTTAGTATTATATTTGATATATTTATGACACACATAAAGTGTGATAATGTTCGATTATAATACGAAAATTTTTCAAACGAAAATAGAGCAATTAGCAAACATGGTTTCATTAAAGAGGCATATACTCTTAATTAGTATTTAGACATAACAAATTATAAAATTTTAGAAGAGATTCAAGTATCTGAAATAATGAAACATGAGATATCTCAACAAGTTATGTCATTATGAGAAAAGAAATAGAATTATAAAGAAAAAATTGTCAGCAACAATTTTGCATATGATGTACTACATCATATGGCGGGAAATCAAAATAAATGCGTCGAAATATATCGATCGAAGTAATAATTGACCAAATAAAATGGACGCATATGATATAGTCGTCTTAACAAATATTTATTGAATGAAAGCTATAAAAATGACAATATCTATCAATGTATTTTCATAAAGAAAACAAATATTGAATTTGCAATTGTGACAATTTATGTTGATAATTTAAATTTAATTGAAACTCCTGAAGAGTTCAAAAAATGCTAATTATTTAAAAAATGAATTTGAGATGAAAGATTTGGAAGAAATCAAATTTTATTTTGGGTTGTAGATCGAACACTTACCCAAAGGATCATTTGTTCCTCAATCTACATATAAAGAAAAACTCTTAAAACGTTTTTTTATATGAACAATGAACATCCATTGACATCACCTATGATTGTTCGATCAATTGATATGAAAATGATCGATTTTGTCAACCTGAAGATGGAGAAAACGTTATTGGTCCTAAAGTGCCATACTCTTAGTGCAATTGGAGCATTAACTTGTCTTGCAAACTAAACTCGACCCAACCCAGTTTTTCTTTAAATCTCGTTGCAAGATATAGCTCTACACTAACTCAAAGATATTTGAATGATGTTAAATATATTTTTTGTTATTTGAAAGGTACTACTAATTTGGAATTCTTTTATTCTTAAAAGTTAGGATCTACTTTAGTGGATATGCAGATGTAGGTTATCCTTCTAACCACGTAAAATTAAATTACAAATAGGATATGTGTTTATACATAGAAGAACAACTATATCATGTAGATTTATGAAGCAATTCTTGACAACCACATCCTCAAATCGTTTTGAAATTATTGCGATCTAAGAAGCAAATCTAGAATGCATATAGTTAAGGAACATGACTTATCATATCCAAACATCATGCGAGTTAACTTCAACAAAGAATAATCTAGCAATCTTGTATGAAAACAATGCATCTTGTATTCACAACTCAAAGGAGACTATATTAAAGATGATACATATTTCTCCAAAATTCTTTCTTATATATGAGCTTCAAAAGAATGGTGACATCGATGTCCAACAAATTCACTCAATTGATAATGTGATCAATTTATTCAAAAAGCATTGCCGACATTTATATTCAAGAAATTGGCTCATGAGATTGGAATGTGTCAACTCAAAGATTTTTATTGATCAATATCAGGGGGAGTAGCTATACTGTTTTTCTTTGGCTTAAATTTTATCCTACTGGATTTTTCTAGCAATGCTTTAATGAGACAATATTTATTTTCAATACTTCAAAATAACTATACACTCTTTCTTTCATTTGATTTTTTGTCTCATTGGATTTTTTTATAAAATAAGGTTTTAACGAGACAAATATTTTGTAATGTGTCATTTAAGGGCGAATATTGTAAATGATAAGTTTATTAGTAAATGATAATTGTACCCCTGTAGCCTTAAAAAATTATTACTGTTGTATCATCGATCCTTTCCTATAAATATAGGGTTTTGATTTTTAATAAAATATACACAAGTCTATTGACTTTTATCATCTCATCTCTTTTTCTAATAGTATTAACTATTTAGTGAAGCATCTATTTTTGAAATCAAAATTTGAGTCGTGTCAAGTCTAACATGAACCACGTAAATATAGGTCAATAAAGTCGACTTTATTGACATGGATTGTGATAATTCAAATAGAAGAAAATCATGACAGCTAAAACTGATGACTTTTAGTCCCTTGTATTTATTTGTAGGCAATGATTAAGTAGGTGATAAGAATAGCTAATCATGTTTTGACTCACTGCCTTACAGTGGTGGATCCAGGAGCTCGAATCAACACGGGCGATTATTGACTGTTGGACGTTAGTGACCACAATAACATCTATTATTATACTTCTATTATACTTGATTTCAATATTCATTAAATGCCATCGTGGTCAACCATTCCAAAACTTTAGAGAGGAGGGTGGTTCGAATCTTTCCCATTGCACTAGTTTTAATAACCAAATATAATTACTTCACTAAAATTGAACATATATGCTTATGATACATTTATTGATAAAACCTGTTGAATGTCATAGTGGCCAAGCTGTCCTCAGTTCCATTGGTTTTAATACAATACTTGAAAATGGTGGAAAATATTAAACTAAAATAATAAAAAACGGATAGTTCTTGTAAAGAGTCGAATTCCTGACATCCAATTTACAAAACGAGTCTCTTTCCAGTAGAGCTACAAGAGTTACATAAAACCAAAGTGAAATTATCGAATATATATCGGAAAAAACATACATTGATATCAAAAAACTTTTTAATGCCGATGGATCCAGCACGAGCGACCATGGGTGCTCACCGGGTGCTGGATTTGCTGCTGCTGCCTTACCCTTCTCATCAGTTAATGAAGGAAAAAAATAATATAGTAAATATTGTAAGATCCATGATAATACATCGTAAGATCCATGATAATACATCGTAAGGTATTAAAATGTCAATTTTAACATGGTTTTAAATTTTCTAAATTCTGATCTCTAAATTGCTCAAAAACTTGCAGTAGTTTTGACTTCGTTACTTCTTGCAAATTTCTATTTATATCAAGATATTTTCATATAAATCCTTGAAAATCACCATGTGAACTGTCAAACTGCAAAGATGTCATATTTAGACAGGAGAGAGAGAGAGAGAGAGAGAGAGAGAGAGAGAGGCGTCCAATGAAGCTTCAAATAAGCTTCGACATAGGAAAAGCATAATTTAAAGACTTTCAACGAAAATTATCTACTCGAGAATGGGGCCGGTCAAGGTCGAGATTGGGGACAGGACGAGGATGGGGACGGGTCAAGAGAAAAGTGGAATGCAAGAAGTGGGATGATTACAAAATGACGAACAGCAGAAGGGTGAAATGAGTTGCTATTATAAAATGAGACTGCAAAAGTAGTACTTCAAGAATTGTACATGCAGGAGGATATGGCATTTTATCATTGAGAGCTGACCAAAAAGGGAAAAAAAGGAACAAAGGCAAACATATATGTATGGCATCTGGCAGTTATTTCCCTGTACAAGGGGAATAACTCATGATATGAAGGTTCTTGCTTGATTAATACTATAGCCAAAGGGTAGTGCTACTTGAACAGGGCCACCTCGGCCCTGTTCAAACTTTCGCCTCCATTTGAATAGGGTAGAGATGGCCCTGTTCGTTTAGCCTAATTCATAGCCAAATATATGTTATTTAAGGAGAAAATGGTTTGCATCCAATCATGTAAAGGAAGAGACAGAGAATGATAAACCTTAGCCATTTCAGTTTCTGTACAGTACTTACTGTCATGAATATTGCAAATAAGCAATCTGTAAACCTAAAGATAAATACATGTTAACTAACACGTGTCCTTTATGCGACGACCTCTATTCCATACATCGTTTGCAAAATAATTGAAGTGAGATGAAGAACATCTATAATCATATAAAAAAATAAATGTACGTACAAAAGGAAGCACTTGCTCAAATCAGCATTCAACTCGAAGAAGTACTGCTGAATCCTTTTCATATATTCTCGTGTTGAAATGTTATATGAGTCTTGTTTTTTGAATTTCTTCGTATTGATTATGTAAAGTAATGCTATCTACTATCCTCGCTGTTCACAAGGGCAACAAGCTCGATATTCTCAGATGTTGAAGTTTCAGCAACCTCTTTTGAATCCAAAACTTCTCCAGGGAGAATAGAGGAGTTAGGATCAGTTCTTGCCACCAAAAATAGTAAACAAAGCGGGCTAATCCTCAATATATTCCTTATCAAAACGGCTACCCACAAGTTATCGAATTGTGTCCTAGTAACTTTCAAAATGTGAAGTAACAAGCCTCCAAACCATGACGATGTAAGAAGTCCCGCATTATCAATTGACATGAGCAATGCAAAAAAGGTTCCTTCAATGCCCCGGGGGCAGAGTTTCGAACTTAGAACAAGAAGTGGCATCCATTTGAGTCGTCCGATCATGGAAGAAACACTTGCATCAATCACCACGAATAAAAAGTCTGGTATCCCTAATTTTAAGTTCACCCGTAGCACCAGTAGCAAATCAAGCATTCCTGAGAGACATAATAGTATCTGAGTCCAGAAGAGTAGATCACGAAATGGATAATCCTTTAATCCATATTGATATAGTATAGCTCCCAATAGAGAGCCTACGGAGCCAATCGCCATCATATAGCCAATGATTTCCTGTGTTAATCATATGAACAACAGTTATGAACACTTAAAATTATTTGGGCTAGCGTGCGAAAGAAGGCAATGAGCTCTACAAATAAATTCTAGACACTTGTCTTCGCTTTTCCAAAATAGAAAACCCAAGTTATGATAGAAGAATGTCAAACTCAGGTATTACAATAAATTCTGTCACACAATTAATATGGATGTCACAAATGTACTAGACAAGCAATATGGAAATGAAGATATTGGCAAACTAAGAAACAAAAAGGAAAAGAAAAGAAAGAAAAGAGTGATAAAGGGTTTTAAGGTGAAGTACATGCTACAACTATCTTCTAATGTTGTCAAAACAGTGTTTTTGAATATCCACGGTAATCAATACGATCTATATGTGGAGAAAATTCCATTTTTCGGAAAGATGTTACTTTTAGGACATTTTGCTCAAACATTTTGCAGCCAGAGTAATTGTAGTATGGTTGGATTTCATATAAACTTCAAGTAGGATATGATTTCGCTTTTGGTTTCAAGCCTCCTCAACATTCAATGTTGTGTTAGGATACTCGTCGCGTGTAATAACTTGAGTTGAATTAGTAAGTAGATATTGAAAGGCATTCAGTTTTCGGTTGAATTACAAGTAAGAATGTTTCAAATTAAGTATCTGTCATGCCTTCTTTGGGCAATGTGTTATTACATGATTGAATGTTCAAAAAATTCTACAATAATCCTATTGATTTCTGTAATCTTTTTTACAGATTATAGAGATAGATATGTTGTCAGTATTTTCAAATCTAAGTTTGATACAACAGTTGATGTGGGTATCTTAAACTCGGTCTCAGTCACCTATTTATACGCAATAACGCATAACATTGTTAAATACAAAGGTCTTCTTTTTCGGCTTCGTTTTGCTCAAACTGTCAATTTGCTTATACAAAATCACTATATTTTGGTACCACAAATGATTGAAAAAAGGCTAGACGTGCTCCTAGATTTAGTAAACATAATTTTTTTTTCCGTCTATATGTAATGGCAAATGGATGTCTCCTGTAGAAAAATCTTTTGGCTAGGTCCTAGATTAGCATAGTCACAACTCAAATGAACATGACATACCTGAGAAAATAATGGGCCTGCCTTTGAATCTGTTGCCCAGTAGAACATTCCTTCGGAGATATTTAAACTCATTGAGAATGACAAGTACATGTATAAACACGGCCTCCACACTTCTGGGCATTTCAGGGTCTTCCACATAGCCTTACCAGCATCAAGAAAGTTCTGGTTGATCTGATATGAAGAATCCAAAATTAGAATTTATCCTTGCTAAAAGCAAGTCATCTCATCTAGAAGCTCAAGCTATTAGAGAGGAATGTGTGTATTCATTTAAATTTAGTTTTCAACGTGTCCCTTTACGTGCAAGACTGTGATTACTTCTAATCAAAAGTCTGACACGTGCACAATTTTCATTAATGGGCGACAACGTGATCTCAACCCCAATCTTTTGCCTAGTTTGATACCACGTTGAACTACCTCCTCTAAAAACATAAGCTGTTAGAGAGCACATGTATTTATTTAAATTTAGTCTTCAACGAAGCCAACTATGCAATAGAAGTGCATGAGTACCTGCTGATATGCAAAGCTCGATGTCCGATTTTCCCTAAGCAAAACACCAACTAACAACACAAGTCCAGCTGGTATAGCCAACAAGCCAAACACCCCCTTTGATTCAAAGAAAATTTATAAAAGGCAAATCAGATTTGCATATGCAATTTAATGTCTAACAAAGTCACAATATTTTTTCAAGGAATACGAAGAAGCTAACCTGTGGACCAATTAAGTGAACAAAGATACCACTTAAAGAGAATCCCACGAGCGACCCAATTGAAGCACTCAATGCACATAAGCTTTGCATGTCGGCTGCAAGGGATGGATGGTTACTACTGTTCTGTGCCACACATGCATCAACAGTCACATCAGCAATGGCAACACTTGCACTTGCTGCCGTCAGTGCCATTAGTGTAAGTATTATATGCAGCTTCTCATGCAATGATAAGAAGAGCATGGAGATCACACCAAGAAAACCTGAATTTATCAGGACAAAAATATTATATCAGAGGAAAAGAGAATTGTAGAAAGGAAAACGAGAACTTTTTTGTTTCTTCCTACAATTTTCCTTTTATGCATATTTCTAACGAGTCAGCAATAGTCACAAACAATGATTTCCTCTTGGAAGAATGAAATATCAGAGATGCTTAAGAATTTGATTACCGACAAATCCTAAACCATAAAGATCCAGAGAAGCTAGTTTCCTTGGGTTTTTCCATGGATAAACATGTTCTGAAACCCTTGATGCTGTATACTTAGCGTCAACAAGAAATTTGGTAAACTGGATCAACTGTCCTACTAATGGGCACGGGCATTTTCCTTGTGTTTTTTTCTTCTTTTCATCTGCTTTAATTGATGGCTGATAGTTTTCCATAATTCTATAGTGTAAACACTTTCTTGTTTCCATCATACCACCCGACTTTATTACCCTGTACTCGTTCTTAATATGATTTACACAAACATTTGATCGTTCTGTTCTCACTGTCCAAGAAGCTAACACAAAATTGATAACCAGGAAAATTTACCTATGCATATTGTATGCTTAAGGTGATTTCTGTATGTTACAGATTATCAACTCGTGGTTATGAGAAATACATATGGGGATCATCGTTTTTTTCCTAGTTCTTAAATATGTTATCTATATTAGATGTCAAGAAAGCAGGAATGAAGAATCTTATGCTGATTCAACATTCAGCTTTATAGATTCCATATCCATATGTAATAAATTGCAGTTTTCATAAAATTCTGACTTTCCAGTTATCCGTTTTATTTCTGTTACATTAGTCTTGTAAGATTAATACTTTTAAACAATTCTAGGAGTAATGAAAATTTACTTAGTGTAACCCTAGATGCTTGTTACTTGTCAGTCATAGACTCGATCACATGTTTTCAAATTGGAATCATATACCTCCTATTAATATGATTCCATACCTTCATACTTCTTAACATCGATCCACCAGTACATTATATTTCATGAGAACTTTATTAAATGAATGCCACATCCATGAATGCTCTTTTTTCTATTTCTTAAGACATAGTATTTCCATGTAAAATTTGACTTAAGGATTGAACTGTCCTAAAAAATGCAAAACGAAAATGCCCTAATAGTACAAGGATTCTATGAACAAACAGTAATACAATATTAATCACCAAGAAATCCCAAGTATATTAGAAACATAAAAAAGCATTAAAATGCAAGGGACATCAATCAATGAGCAACAAGGAACAAATCAAGAAGTCATATGAAATCTGCAATAAAGAGTTAACATTTTACCGGCGAAAAGGAAATATGGTCTCCGATGATACCCCAAAATGGGAACAACATCAGTGAGAAGACCCCATAAAGGTTTAACTATCCAAGGAATGGAAGTGATTCCAGAGTAAACTTGAGCCTCAGAAGGTTGCACTTTTTGCACATCTTTCATGTAATACTGTGTGCCCACCCGAGCAAGAGCTCCCCCAAGTCCTTGGCTGATTCCATAAACAATCACTACCCCAAATACAAAACTCCAGTGCAATTCCAAAGCAAGCATTTTGACCCAATAAACTGGTGTGAAAATAGCATTATAGATCCCATTCTTGGGCTGATGATTTTCTTCAACTTCCTCTTTGTGAATTGGAATAGTCTCTTCCTCCCCCATTTTTCTCATAAAACAAAATCTTAAGAAATTCCACTACAAAACCAATAAGAATCCAGATCTAAACCCTACGGTTTCTACAGATTTCTGAAAAAATGTCTTAGAAAAGTAGAGGGATCTTGATTCATCTTGAAACCCCTATGAAAAGTGAACACGAGTAAACTGTATCATCTGGTTCTTGTTCGAAAAATCAAGTAAAACGTGTCAGAAGGATTCTTAGCCAAAACCATGTTTTTGATCTGATAACTCTGTTTCTAAGCTAAAGATTTAACCAGAAGAGCACAAAATTGTCTTAAAGATTGGCAGACATTGCCTTAAATCCAAATGTTTAATCAAGATTCTCTCTCCAACATGTGGAAAATAATGTCTATTTAAGGAGTAGATTTCAAGGCAGCAGGTTGAAGGGATTTTAATACAGATTAAAATAAGTTAATAATATCACCTGTCTACATCAAGAAGGTATAACTTATCACCTAATCCAAGAGTGCAAGCGGGAGGGAGAGGCAAATTACAAGTTGAAGATAATAATTGCAGGAAGAAAAAACGAGGCATCTCTTTGACATTGTTTGTCCAAGGTTGGTTTGCCATTTGGCTTGCATCTATACGCAAGACATTTTGTTTAAAATTTGAAAAGAAAAATTGAAGCAAATGGCCCTAACCTATGACTTTTGTACTCAAATGGTCCCCATTCTTTCATTATTGACACTGAACCCCACAACCTATTGATTTTGTGCGCTAAGAGCATCCTCAATGGTACACCAAATTGGTGTAAATTTAGTGCAAAATTTCACTTCAATGGTTCATCTAATCACCACAGCAATTTGTCCAAGGTTGGTTGCCATTTGGCTTGCATCTATACGCAAGACCTTTTTGTATAAAATTTGAGTAGAAAAATTGAAGCAAATGGTCCCTAACCTACGACTTTTGTACTCAAATGGTCCCCATTCTTTCATTATTGACACTGAACCCCACAACCTATTGATTTTGTGCGCTAAGAGCATCCTCAATGGTACACCAAATTGGTGTAAATTTAGTGCAAAATTTCACTTCAATGGTTCATCTAATCACCACAGCAATTTGTCCAAGGTTGGTTGCCATTTGGCTTGCATCTATACGCAAGACCTTTTTGTATAAAATTTGAGTAGAAAAATTGAAGCAAATGGTCCCTAACCTACGACTTTTGTACTCAAATGGTCCCCATTCTTTCATTATTGACACTGAACCCCACAACCTATTGATTTTGTGCGCTAAGAGCATCTTCTGTGGTACACCAAATTGGTGTAAATTTATTGCAAAATTTCACTTCAATGGTTCATCAAATCACCACAGCAATTTGGTGTAATAAATAATGTTACACTAGAGATGGCAAAAAACTCGCCCCATCCTGAACGAGCCTGTCTTGAATGCCCGCCACGTGAAAAGCAAAAAAAATTAAAATTCTGAAATTTTATTAAAAGATTCATGAGATGTTGTCAACCCATTTAATAAACTTTCTTAATTTTGTTATTAAAAGATTCATGAAATGGGTTCATAAAACCTATTGTGCAGTTTTCAACATGAAATTTTTTTGAATCAAGCACTTGATTGTTGCAAGAACAATGCCAAGCAATCTGGCTAAGTTCAAACTTCCAAGAAATGTGCGAAAATTAGGATTTTTGAACATGTTCCAACTATCAAACTCCTTTGATTAAATTAAAAGAATTTGTATTTTATTATCTAATAATAACATAACTTGAAATTTTGAAAATATAAAAATAAAAATAAAAAAATAAATGGGGCAAGCAACTGCCCCGCTCCGCCTTGTCTAAGGCTTCGAACATGTCCCACTGCCATTTCTATGTTACATTGTTTATTTGATGTAAAATTTGGTTTAATTCATTATTTTTATTTTGCCCCTCATTTTATATTTCAACAAATTGTAATTCCTTCTATTTACATTTTTTATGCTTTAATATTTAATGATTTAAATTTATTCAAATTTGTTTATTATTCTAATAAAGTAATAAGTAATAAGTTATTTATTTATTTTTTTCTTTTTTGTTAACTTTGAATGTACTAGTATGTTTGATTGGCTTCATTTTCCATGAAAAATGTCATTTTCACTAAATTCCTATTTTTGAAGTATTTGATTGACAATATTTTTTATGAAAAATATTTTTCAATTTTTGGTCGCGTAACCATATTTTTCTTAAAAGTAAGGAAAACATTTTTTTTAGAGAGTGATGACTTTTTATTTTTCAAGTAATTCACTCTCCCTCTCTCTCATCTATTTGTTAATAAAAAAATGGACAAATTGCGTTGGCCCGAGGGTTTACTCAATCCGCACCCGAAGAGTAGCGACTACGAGTTCTCCAATCATGAAAAAAAAAGAACAAATATAATATTTTCAAGGTTGAGAACTAAATTAATCAAACAAATTTAATTAATAATTTAAATACAAATAAGTTATATGTAATTGAATTGCTTATAGTTTATTTTCTTTTCACAATCAAATGCACTCTAACCTTTTTTTTTTTTGGTGGTCAATCTAATTAAAGGTTTAACTATCCAAGGAATGGAAGTGATTCCAGAGTAAACTTGAGCCTCAGAAGGTTGCACTTTTTGCACATCTTTCATGTAATACTGTGTGCCCACCCGAGCAAGAGCTCCCCCAAGTCCTTGGCTGATTCCATAAACAATCACTACCCCAAATACAAAACTCCAGTGCAATTCCAAAGCAAGCATTTTGACCCAATAAACTGGTGTGAAAATAGCATTATAGATCCCATTCTTGGGCTGATGATTTTCTTCAACTTCCTCTTTGTGAATTGGAATAGTCTCTTCCTCCCCCATTTTTCTCATAAAACAAAATCTTAAGAAATTCCACTACAAAACCAATAAGAATCCAGATCTAAACCCTACGGTTTCTACAGATTTCTGAAAAAATGTCTTAGAAAAGTAGAGGGATCTTGATTCATCTTGAAACCCCTATGAAAAGTGAACACGAGTAAACTGTATCATCTGGTTCTTGTTCGAAAAATCAAGTAAAACGTGTCAGAAGGATTCTTAGCCAAAACCATGTTTTTGATCTGATAACTCTGTTTCTAAGCTAAAGATTTAACCAGAAGAGCACAAAATTGTCTTAAAGATTGGCAGACATTGCCTTAAATCCAAATGTTTAATCAAGATTCTCTCTCCAACATGTGGAAAATAATGTCTATTTAAGGAGTAGATTTCAAGGCAGCAGGTTGAAGGGATTTTAATACAGAATAAAATAAATTAATAATATCACCAGTCTACATCAAGAAGGTATAACTTATCACCTAATCCAAGAGTGCGAGCGGGAGGGAGAAGCAAATTACAAGTTGGAGATGATTGCAGGAAGAAAACAAGGCATCTCTTTGACATTGTTTGTCCAACGTTGGTTTGCCATTTGGCTTGCATCTATACGCAAGACATTTTGTTTAAAATTTGAAAAGAAAAATTGAAGCAAATGGTCCCTAACCTATGACTTTTGTACTCAAATGGTCCCCATTCTTTCATTATTGACACTGAACCCCACAACCTATTGATTTTGTGCGCTAAGAGCATCTTCAATGGTACACCAAATTGGTGTAAATTTAGTGCAAAATTTCACTTCAATGGTTCATCTAATCACCACAGCAATTTGTCCAAGGTTGGTTGCCATTTGGCTTGCATCTATACGCAAGACCTTTTTGTATAAAATTTGAGTAGAAAAATTGAAGCAAATGGTCCCTAACCTACGACTTTTGTACTCAAATGGTCCCCATTCTTTCATTATTGACACTGAACCCCACAGCCTATTGATTTTGTGCGCTAAGAGCATCTTCTGTGGTACACCAAATTGGTGTAAATTTATTGCAAAATTTCACTTCAATGGTTCATCAAATCACCACAGCAATTTGGTGTAATAAATAATGTTACACTAGAGATGGCAAAAAACTCGCCCCATCCTGAACGAGCCTGTCTTGAATGCCCGCCACGTGAAAAGCAAAAAAAATTAAAATTCTGAAATTTTATTAAAAGATTCATGAGATGTTGTCAACCCATTTAATAAACTTTCTTAATTTTGTTATTAAAAGATTCATGAAATGGGTTCATAAAACCTATTGTGCAGTTTTCAACATGAAATTTTTTTGAATCAAGCACTTGATTGTTGCAAGAACAATGCCAAGCAATCTGGCTAAGTTCAAACTTCCAAGAAATGTGCGAAAATTAGGATTTTTGAACATGTTCCAACTATCAAACTCCTTTGATTAAATTAAAAGAATTTGTATTTTATTATCTAATAATAACATAACTTGAAATTTTGAAAATATAAAAATAAAAATAAAAAAATAAATGGGGCAAGCAACTGCCCCGCTCCGCCTTGTCTAAGGCTTCGAACATGTCCCACTGCCATTTCTATGTTACATTGTTTATTTGATGTAAAATTTGGTTTAATTCATTATTTTTATTTTGCCCCTCATTTTATATTTCAACAAATTGTAATTCCTTCTATTTACATTTTTTATGCTTTAATATTTAATGATTTAAATTTATTCAAATTTGTTTATTATTCTAATAAAGTAATAAGTAATAAGTTATTTATTTATTTTTTTCTTTTTTGTTAACTTTGAATGTACTAGTATGTTTGATTGGCTTCATTTTCCATGAAAAATGTCATTTTCACTAAATTCCTATTTTTGAAGTATTTGATTGACAATATTTTTTATGAAAAATATTTTTCAATTTTTGGTCGCGTAACCATATTTTTCTTAAAAGTAAGGAAAACATTTTTTTTAGAGAGTGATGACTTTTTATTTTTCAAGTAATTCACTCTCCCTCTCTCTCATCTATTTGTTAATAAAAAAATGGACAAATTGCGTTGACCCGAGGGTTTACTCAATCCGCACCCGAAGAGTAGCGACTACGAGTTCTCCAATCATGAAAAAAAAAGAACAAATATAATATTTTCAAGGTTGAGAACTAAATTAATCAAACAAATTTAATTAATAATTTAAATACAAATAAGTTATATGTAATTGAATTGCTTATAGTTTATTTTCTTTTCACAATCAAATGCACTCTAACCTTTTTTTTTTTTGGTGGTCAATCTAATTTTTTACTGTGGTATTCAGATTAATACTTTTTTCTTAATTTATTAATATATGCAATATTTTAGTTCATTAAATATAAATATAAATTTAATAATAATATAATTTGTAATTAAATAATTTTTAAAAATAAGTAATTATTGAGAAACAAATAATAAGGAAATAAGGAAAATGTTATTCATTTTGGAGGTGTTTGATAGACATTTTTATGTAAAAATGCATTTTAGAAAAGTAAATTGATGTAAAATATGTGATTGAGAAATAAGAAAATTTTTTTTGATTTACATGTAATATTATTTTAATAAAAAATTTGTGGTTGAAAAGAAAAGAAAGAACAATGTATTTTGAAAAAAAATGACTACCAAACGGGGCCTTAAAGTAAAATTTGGTGTAATCAATGGAGAGGTCACCTCAAATTGCACCAATTTGGTGTAAAAGTTATACCAAATTAATGCTAACCATTGGACATGCCCTAATGATACACGGTTTAAAGACTTTTGTTCACTCCTGCCATTAAGTTTGGACGCGTCTCTCATGTGTACAAACCTGCAATGATAAAATTAAAATTATCCACACAATATGTTAAAAGGTTATGTCCTATAAAATTAAAAGGAAAAAAAATGCAAAAAAAAAAAAGTTTGAGTCTTTGACCCACCCACCCTCTCTTGGAAGACCCACATCTCCCCCTTCATCACCATGTCATTGTGGTCGCCGTCCAACATATATCAAAGTTTCTACCGACAATGCGTCCAACATACCAATCATTAGAAATTCAAGATTTAGAAGCTTTAAAAAAATTATTCATCATCTTCCGCACGGTATTTTTCAATGATAAATTTCAATAATATCACTAAACTTCGTAATTGGTATCACATCGGCTATTGAACTTCGAGTTATTTACACTCAAAATTTAATCTTACAAAATATTTTATTCAAACCATTGACTAAGTTTGACATTCATATTTTAACTGAAAATTCTTCGTTTTTGTGTGCTAACTCGAAGTATAACCTAAAAATCATAACGGTTTGATGAGTTGGCACACAAACACCTATGTTTCTCAATATTTAAAAAAAAAAAATGAACGTCAAACTTAATCAGTAGTGGTCTGAGTGAAATATTTGTTAAAGTTCATCACCAACAAATAAAAGTTCATTGGCCAAGATTAACGTAAGTACAAATTCAGTGACCATCAGTGAAATAAACCCCCTTTTCTATTGTATAAGTTCCTAATTAATTAAAAATAAAAATATGAACTCATGGTTGGATCTTGAAAAGCTATTGATGATTCTCTTCAGTATTTTACATTGGCCTCTCTTGTCGCCATGATTATCTTGAGATCCCTTCGTTTGAGGACCTTCTTCATGTTGCTCTTTAAACTCATTATTTTGAGCAAGTTTGAGCTACATTTTATTGTAAGAATGTATTTTAGGATAATAGATTGATGGAGAATGAGTGGTTAAAAAATAAGGAAAAATTTAAAATTTACGTGTAATATTATTTTATTAAAAAATATATTTTTGAAAAGATGATAGAGAAATATGTATTTTTAAAATGATGAGGATCAAACAAGGGCTTTTTGTTGTTGGGGAAGACCTTTTCTTTTATAGCTAACTATGCAGTACTTTATCTTCATATGTTGTTAGACCTCTAACAATTGCTTGTTTCGTGAAATTGATCTTCAATTTTGTTGAAACCAGCTCTGTTTCAACTTACCAACATAAAAGATACTCAACCAATCAACTCCAATCCACAACTTTGTCTTACTTCAGTTGCTCTACTCAATGTTTCCACAAAAAACACAATACAGTGGTTGTAATATGTAACCAAGAAGAGAGGAAGATAGGTTTCGTTTTTTTGAGCACGAAGAGAGAAAATATAAAAGGTGGGCTGCCTATTTTCTCATAGTTGCACACACGGCTTCTTCTAGAAAATGAGGCCATATATAGATTTAGAGTGTGAATTATGTAAGCTCTAATAGTGGGATCATGAACCAACAAATGGTTAGAGAATTAAGTTATAATATCTGTATTCTTTACTTTCTAACAATTTATTATTCTGCGATAATTTAACATGGGGTAGATTGCATGTGAATTTGTCCAGACTAATTAATAACTATAACGTGTTGCAATTGTTAATTACTTTGCTTAAATTACACACAAACACCTATTCACCCCCTCCCCCTCTAGGCATAATTTGAGTCGAACTGTGTAACTTACAGAATTATTTGTTCAATCTCTCAGCACTCTTAGTTGAATTCAACGAGATCATCAATCAAGGTGTTCAACTTCTACGTTTCATCACATGGCAAATGAAGGATTAGAAAATGATAAACACGAGATCATTCAGCAAGGTGAGATACAAGGTATATTTGCAGGATTCCTTCAGCTGGACTAATTGAAAGTTCCTTATAAGCATTATTTAAATTGCACTTAGGAATATGCCATAACAGATATTTAACGACGTTCATTGCAAGGGAGGTAGTCCCTCCTTCAATAAGTGTAGTAAATATCTACTTTCTTTCGATATAAGTCTTAAGTTAAAGGTGGAATATCTTCCACCCCCGTTTATTTCAAATTCTGATGAATAAGACATGGTAACAATTCTCCTAACTCTCCCCCATTGCGTTTATGTAGATGGATAAATATCTTGCTTAGTTGTTGACGGTGTTTTTCTTTAAAAAGCAAAAAGTATATACGTGTATGAACACAGGCACATAAATGGAGGTGCAAAGCCTGGATTTATAAATAAAATTATGTTCCGAGTTTCTTGTCTTTATAAAGGTTAAACTCCGATCTAAAGGGCCCCCACTATCCCGTCCCTAGAGCTTTATGAGGGAGGTAAATCGCGGGATGTGCTCCAGTAGGCCAAAGAACAAGAGCTATCTGTACACTACGCCTACAAGGAATTCAATTCCATGTCTCAGGAATCGAACCCTCATACTGCGACTGCCAGCAAAGCGTGAAATAAACTCATTCTTGTCCTTTGTACTACTAGACTATACCTCGGGGGCTAGTTTCTTGTCTTTATAATATGACTA